TAGGAACCTAATTATCCGTACCTTTTTATTGCCGTCAAACCACTTTGATTATTACAATCTCGACGCATTATACAGTATTATTCGAAAGGAAATCTACCTTATAACCATTAACATTGTTACTTTTTGTTAAACTAATTTTAAGTAATCTCATTTTATTGGTCTTAGTCTTTGTTTTGGTAAATGTTATGTTACAAATTTAAAGATAAAAAGTCCTATTTTTAAAACTGAACTTGGCATTGAAATCTCCCGCGCTACATAACCTACAAATATTATTTGCAACTTGTAATTTATAAAGTTATTTATAATACATAATTTATACGTAATATCGTTATCACCTACAATTGAAGAAAACAATTTATATATCTATATAGGGTGTCATATGAATTAATAAATTACAGATATAATATATCTATAAATACTTTGTAATAAATTATAGAGGTATAATTTATAAAAAATTAATTCTACATGAAAAAGTAAGTCGAAAATCTGGAACGAAATTTTTTTGTACTGATCTTTGTTTTTGAGAAAATCCTATGTGAAAATTCATGGGTGTGCTATATATAAATACTTGTGCTATAAATAAATACTAAAAGTTACATTTTTCGTTTTATTATACATTGTTAATTTTCAAATGCAGAAAATATGACGATATTTGTTAACCAGATACACACATACTATCATAAATAATCACATTTATGCATATCTCATGAATTTTGGAACCTGATTTTCTCGAAAACAAAATCTCAAATTTATTCCATATTTTTTATTCATTTTTTCGTATAAATTGTCCTCTAGAAATTATATCAGTTATATGCACTATACAATGAAGTATAGTATTATTCGCATTCTCTTTCCTCCCAATGTTTAATTTCAAACGATTATTATTTTTTTATAATACAATTTTTGAGAATATCAAAATTAAAAATCAAGTTAGATCAAATTGGTAAATATTTTGATTTCAACACATATCATATCAAAATTTCTATAGTCAATTTTCTAATAATTTATTTGAGTTCCTATTTTCTTTTTATTACACCGTTATTTTGCAATAAAGATTGTGCAAGTCGAAAGTGTAATTTGTACAACATACGAATTTTGAAACTCGTATAGTAAACGAATAGTGATCATTTGAATTTGGCAATGGGAAGAATACGAAAATTTTTACGATTCATTATACAAATATAGTCCGAACCATATAGTTAGCCACAAAAATCGATCAGATAGGACTAGTGGAGAAAGTATGATTTGAACTTGACTAACGTATTATTATACATACTGTCACTGGTGAAACTTTCCTTTCGTTTAATTATAAGCTCAAGTTACAACGAATTTTTAAAGTAGTCGACTCCATTTTGAATAATTTTGTGTTTATGTATAATGCGTCTCGCAAGTTCCGCGAGATAGCACAGAACCAAGAAAATCATTTTCGTCGCACTACAAATTTATATTTATATTATTAAATAATGCATATTAAATATATTAAATATATATATTTTTAATGATGCAAAAATACGAAATTTTTGGAAAGAACCGGAAGAATTTTTGATTTAGGACAAAATCAATAAGTAATTTTTTCCCAATTATTTGTAATAAATATTTACAAAATAAATTAAATTATTGGTGTCTTTAAAAAATTAAATATTTACTAAATACATGATTCGTTTTAGTCAATACTTCGGCTAAAACTGAAAACGTGTTAAACGGGGCGTTTACCTTCCACTTTGACCAATTAGATGTGACTACTTGCAAGGCACACACAATACATATTTCAAACAATCCTGTTCTTAGATACACACAGTTCAATGTTTCCAGAATTAATTGTACAATTATATAACGCTTGAAGTTAAATAAGAATCGAGCTAATATAACCAATAAACAAAATACTAAACTACGCTAAACGAAATTATACTATATAATGCTAAACTATAACGAAGATTAAAAAAGAAATATGCACAGTGAACTTCCGTGTATAACGCAATGAATTTACGTAACTTTTAATATCTTTCCGAGTTCAAGCATTGATTACATATCACACTAGATAGGTAAGCGTATATAAAAATTTCGTTTCCAAATAAAAATAAAAATCGAAAAGAAATCAAAATTTTTAACTTATTTATTACTAAATATTACTATTAAACGCGTTGAATATTTAATATACACATTTTGTACGCGTTATATGGAACATTTCGATTGCAAGTTACGATCTCTTGCCGCGCCGTAAAGAGGTTAGGTGGCGAAGGAAAGGACGCCGCTAACTCGAGTAACATTAGCAATGCTGATAATCCGAAGTCGGCTGAATTGACCTATGGCCTCCCCGTATTTATTTTATTTTATCTCCTCTCGGCCGATCTTTTGTTCTTTTAACTCCTATACGTGCGCGTCAGTGTTCCACGTCGTTCGAAACTGTTCGAGGTAACACTTCGTGATACCTTCGCGGTTCGTGGTAGCGAAATCGATGGCGGCCGACGAAAGCAATGTGTACTCGACGAAATGTTGACGTAATATCGCGATACGAAGCGTTACACAATAAGCGAACAGCGCAACGTGCCAAAATGTTCGGATCACCTTGGACGTTTCACTGAGAACCGGAAACGAAGTAATCCTAGCTTGCAAAAGGGTTTTCGATAAGGATAGCAGTAAATAACACCGTTCGTATCTTACGATAGCGATTAGGTCATTTTTATTATTTCCATAATCCCTTAAATGATGGATTAATATACAATGTGTCTCAGAAATTTTCGTCCTTCTACTACTGTTGATTTTGAACGATTGCTATTTATTCATAGCACATTTTATGAAAAGTATAGTACAAATTTTTGTCGAAATTTTAAAAATTTCTTTTTTTATATATTGACACTTTGTTTTTACACGTATCTACAAGTAATAATTTTGACAATTCTTAATCGTATTCTTATTTTTATAATCCCTTAAATGATAGGTTAATATACAGTGTGTCTCGCAAATTTTCGTACTTCTGCAACTGTTGGTTTTGAACGATTGCTATTTATTCATAGCACATTTTATGAAAAGTATAGTACAAATTTTTGTCGAAATTTTAAAAATTTCTTTTTTTATATATTGACACGTTGTTTTTACACGTGTCTACAAGTAATAATTTTGATAATTTTTAATCATATTCTTATTTTTATAATCCCTTTAATATACAGTGTGTCTCAGAAATTTTCGTACTTCTGTTACTGTTGACTTTGAACGATTGCTATTTATTTACAGTATATTTTATAAAATTTTTATAAAGAGTGCTATACGTTGGGATAATTAAGCTTCTAAAACACTATGAATTTTAAAAAGTAAAGGTGGATATTAATGTAACGAAAGTCAAAGTTTAGAAAAATTAAAAAAGTATAGTAGAAATTTTTGTCGAAGTTTCTAAAATTTCCATTTTTGTTACATTGATATAGTTTTGCACGTGTCTGCAAGTAAATTTCGATAATTATAACGCACGTTAATGGAAAGTTTGAGCATTTTCTTTTGAAATAAGTGAAACCGCGTTGAAAAAGACTGTTACAACCACTAAAATAGAAACTTGTGTCTTTATGATACCTTTCCTACAGTACCTAGTTATATACTTACAATTAGAATAAAAAGAGAAAAATAAATACATTTTTTAACACAAATTTTTAAATTTTTCTAAAATTCTTAAAAATTTTTTCGCTATATTTATTGCACAGTTACACAGTTGACATGATGAAATCAATCGTTCTAAACATGTTTGATTTTATCATATCAACTGTGTAACTGTGCAATAATATAGCGAAAAAATTTTCAAGAATTTTAGAAAAATTTAAAAATTTGTATTAAAGAATGTATTTATTTTTTATTTTTATTTCTTTCGTATTAAAAATGTATTTATTTATTTAAAAAGTGAAATCAATATTTTGGAAACTTTCTATCGTTCTAAACATGTTATAAAATTTCCAAAATATTGATTTCACTTTTTACAATTTAATTACTTAATTTATAAATCAACATTGTATCGAATTTATTTCAGTAAAATTATAATATCAAATTACAGAACATGATAAAATCAATCATTCTGAACACGTTATAAAATTTCCAAAATCTTGACCTCACTTTTTGCAATTTAATTGCTTAATTTATAAATCGATATTGTATCGAATTTATTTCAGTAAAATTATAATATTAATTGGAAAAACATTCGCGACGAATTAAAAATATTTACTCACAATCGGACCATTGTCCTGTACATAAAGAAGCGATAAAACTTCGTTCTCTTGAATTTTCTTTAGAAATCTGCCATTATCTTGGCTTCGATAGCTGTTTATTACCGATAAGGACTCATACTTGCGAGTGATATTCTAAAATTATTCTTATTCCCGTGCTGTATTAGGAGCATGCTAAGCAATACAAGAGCTTAAGTCCCGAACACGAATCGGATACCAAAAGTGACCAGTTGTTTGTATTTAAATGTCAAGATTTACATTGAATGCGTATTTTCTAATAGAATGTTCAAAAACAATAGGGAAAAGATATTTTGAGAACAAATCGCCTGCTCCGGCGAATATATATTTATAGATGTTGTAATTATGAAAAGTTCTATTCAGAGCTTGCTTTTCGTACTTCCACGATGGAAGATATTTGCATCTTACACCCGAGGAAATCGTACTGATACGTTTTAACAATAATCACATGACGTATGACGGGACTAAAAAGTTCCAAGCTTTAACGCGTGTGACAGCAATACGTTTATAGCCTAATTGCGTGCATAAACGATACACGTCTTATGAATACGTAATTTCTCTTAAGTATATGCAGTTCGTTTTAAAATACGTGGACACGGATAAAACTGGAAATAAATGACGAAACGTAACAACGTTGTCAAAAAATTGGGAAAATTGTCAATTTGATAAACATAAATTTATATTCACTCGTGATCGTGTTATTAACGTGATGTTTTAATTGAAAAATTTACGTGTTTTACAGTATTTTAAAATATTTTTGCGATTTATTGTATTTTACAGCATTGAATGATGTGAGAAAACAAGATGATCTAGAATCAAGGTATCCTTACCACAACTGTTTGAATAACTACGTCTTGTAAGTGCTGATAATATGTTCTTAACATTCCTCATATACTCAGCGTTATTAATGTATAGATCAAATATTGAACAATCTGAAAATACGATACTTTGACTCTTCATACGTCTGTAACCAGAACTTCATTTTATTATGGGAGAATTATACGTTTTTCCGTGAATTTGAAATTTAATATTTAAAAAATTTTTTTAAATTTTAGATTCGAGAGAAAAAATATAATCCTCCCATAATCGAATGAAGTTCTGGTGGAGGATTATATTTTTGGCCTTGAATCTGAAATTTAGTATTTAAAAAATTTTTTTAAATCTCAGATTCGAGGGAAAAAATATAATTCTCTCATATGTAATCGTCTCAATATCGTTTAATATGTGTGTATGTGTGTGTGTTTTTATAATTGGATATTCTTATTATTTCATGTTACTTGTTTATTTTCTTATTGCATTGATTTAGAATCTTTTGTTAAAATGCTTATCATTTAGGTCAATGTTGTATCAATAGAAAATAGTTCACTACAGAGAATTTTTGATTATCCAGATATCCCGTGCGCTAGAGACTATTCTTGTAGAGCCACGTTTTGAAAGATTGCATTAGATAAGATAAGATAAGGTATATATTTTATGATGTCTTGCTCGCTTTTTTCTCGTCATTTAGAAACGCCACGATGTAATGAGATATCCATTTGCGCAGATTGTTTTTTATTCATTAGCGAATTAATAACATAACCTCACTGATACTATGTGTGCGAGCAAAGTGATCCATTGCGTTGCACATAATTCAATATTCTCGACGAGGAAAATACCTGTCAATGTGAACGAAGATTGAAACCATTTTATTCGATAATTAATATAACGAAGGTATAAATTTAGAGAATGGTAAAAATTTGAATAGAGGTTAGGATACATTATTCTTCGTAAAAATTTTTATGTACGTTTATATATTTGTAAAATTTCTGTTTATTAAATACTTGTCAATTCAAATGAAGATTAAAAATATTTTGTTCATAATTAATATTATGATATAAATTTAGAGAATGGAAAAAATTTCGTATGAACAGAGGTTAGGGTACATTATTTTTCGTAAAATTCTTTATGTATGACTATATATTAATAAAATTGTTATTTATCAGTTCAGTAACTTCTATTTGTTACATTAACTACCGTTAGATATCACAAATATTGCTTCTATAAGGTATAATAGTTTGAGGTTATGAAAACTTGAATTTCATAATTTCATATTTGTATTTAATTTAGTAACTAAATATTATAATCGCTACGTATATTTTATATTATTATAGTAATGATGAACAGAGGTTAAGGTATGTTATTTTTCGTAAAAATTTGTATGAACGTCTATATATTTGTAAAATTTCTATTTATCAGTTTAAATGTCTGTAAATGCAAACGAAGATTAAAAATATTTTATTCAATAATTAATATTCTGATGGTATAAATGTAGAGAATGGTAAACATTTTGTATGAACAGAGGTTAGGGTACCTTATTCTTCGTAAGAAATTTTATGTATGTCTACATATTTATAAAATTTTTATTTATCATTTTAAATGCCTGTAAATGCAAACGAAGATTAAAAATATTTTATTCACTAATTAACATTCTGATGGCATAAATTTAGAGAATGGTAAAAATTTTCAATGAACAGAGGTTAGGATACATTATTCGTAAAAATTTTCATACGTGCTATATATTTGTAAAATTTTTATTTATCAGTTCAATAACTTCTATTTGTTACTTTAACTGTCATTAATTATCTGAAATATTATGTTTCTGTAAGCTGTAATTTTTTGAGGTTATGAAAACTTGAGTTTTATAATTTAATACTTCTATTTAATTTAGTAACTAAATATTATTACCACTATTATTGTTATATTTACAGCACCATTAGTTATGTATTATTATTATTATTATATTTTATATTACTATAGTAATGTTTAATTGCCATACTATATTTTTCTCGTTCCATATATTTATGCCTCGCTAATAATAATTAATCCGAATAAATAATCGAATAATTGTCATTATAGTTATTAAATTAATAATTATAATTAACAATAAATAATAATATTAATACACTTCGCCTTTCTTTGAATTCTATATTTTTCCATCGACTAGATCCGGTTACATAACCTTTTGATATAGACGCGTGCCGATTGCCGAGCTGAAAAACGATCGAGGTGTTACAATAACATTTTCAGATCTGATTTCATTCGAGACACACCGTCTGTACGAGATCAACGGATCTCTTCCTGTACAGGTCACGGATGAAAGTTGAATGAAGTGAATGCATGATAGCAGCTCGATTTGACCATTTTTACCGCGATATGAGAGAATCGGTTGTAACGAGGTTCGATATATCAGCTTCCGGAACTTTATCAACCTTGCAGGCGATTTAAATGGAACAATGAATCTCAGTTAACCGATCCTCGATTATACCGATTTACAATTTATTTCCGATTACTTTACGAGATTTTTCCGACATTTTACAAGTATCATTTTTAACAATAAATCAACCACTGTCAAATGATCAAAGATGGCGATTAGAGACGAAATAAAATTGCGAAGAAATGAAATAAGGAGAGGCACGTTAAAAATTTATTAGGTATATGGGAAGAGGAATGATTATGACAATGACTATGACAATGAATAGTCGCAGTACGGAATTTTTAATGATAGTTTTAACCCTTTGCATTCGAGAGGTTAGCTTCAGTGACTATTTCATAAAATTTGGAAGATCGATATTAATTAATATATCAAATTTAATGTAATGTAACAGTGTGCGAGATATCGAAATCAAATAATTTTACAATTCTATTGTTATACAATTTTTTATTTACTGCTCAAAAAAGTATCGTCAATTTTTTAGTAAATCTTTGAATTTCTGCTCTTCCCTAGCCAAAAAATCGTCGAGTGCAAAGGGTTAAAAATTGTCATGTAGGTTTATAATATTATATAATATTGTATAGAATCTGACTGGAAAGTTCAATTTTATTGACATTTTCGACTAATATCGTGGTGAGCAAACTTTTCTGCATAAATAACTAAATATTATAATCACTATGTATATTTTATATTACTATAGTAATGATGAACAGAGGTTAAGATATGTTATTTTTCGTAAAAATTTGTATGAACGTCTATATATTTGTAAAATTTCTATTTATCAGTTTATTTATTAGTCTATTATCAGTCTATTTATCAGTCATGTAGGTTATGGTAGGTTCAGTGTTGAATCCGGGATATGTACAGAATGTTAGTATCACAAGATGAAGTATTTTGGTAAATTTTGTTTTGAAATACAGGTAGCCCCCTTATAACATGGCATTCTATAATACGGTTTCACTATAACACGATTCATAAATTGCGGGAACCCTCCTACAACACGGTTTCGCTATAACGCGATTCATAAATTGCAGAAGCCCTCCTACAACACGGCATCCTATAACACGGTTTCGCTCTAACATTATAAGAAAATTGCAAAAACCTTTTTACAACACTGTACTTCTGCATGAGCAGTGACGACGAAGAAATTTATTAAATTAAAATTGTGTTAAATTAAAATAATAATTTTGTTTTTGTTTTGTTTTGTGTTGCACATACATTTATATTTTTAATAAAAATTAAGTTGTTTATCTAGAATTAAAATAAAAATTTCTTTCTAGTAAGTTTTCGGAACGTAAGACCTCTTTTTGTACTGGCTCTGGGTCTCGTACAACACGGTTTCACACAACACGGCATTTTCTAGGAACCTATCTACCGTGTTATAGAAGGGTTACCTGTATATTTGAAAAGACTACAATTTTTCATTTATTTGACAAAATTTTTGGCCCTCAGATAGGAATTTAATTTAAAAAAATAGTTAAAAATTATAATCGAAAGTGGACATGCATGCTACTAAATTGTTTTATTTATTCTTTTTTATTTCGTGCAGCAAATTTTTGGAAAAATAACAGCTATTAATACTTGGAAAGTTAAAGGTATTTTTAGATATGTAAATTAATTCGGTGTTTCTATTGGAAGAATTCAAATTTTGTTTACAGTTTACGTGATACACGTAGATTTAATCGTAGTAATTGACATTATTCAACCAACTCGTGTAAAATTATGTAAACATAGACACGTTTTTATGTATCGCTTAAACATGAGACAAGAACATACCTGAGTTTTGAATATTTATTAGGAGTGAATAAATCTAGATGTACCAAATTAATTTGCATAACTAATACTTTAACAGAGGCAAGTATCATAAACACAAGTACATATGAAAGTGGTAATGCATTGATGATATGGTCACGTTGGATATAAGTAACTATACATATATCCAGTGAATATCAAAAATTTATTTATACTTTTCAAATGGAGTCATAGATGAAAAAATGCTATAGTAAACTTTTTATTTATTATTTTACATGGAATCACTGCATTTTCTATAGTAATATAGATTTTTCTTTATTTCGAATATAGTATAAAATATCATAATTTTAAATTATTAAACAAGAGTATGATAATAAGTATAAAATTAATTATACTTAATAATTTCTTTCTTTTAAACGTAGTCATAAATGTTATAGCAATCTTATAGTAATGTTATAGTAAATTATAAATTATAGCAATGTAAAAACGTTGTAGCAAACATTTTATTTATTATTTATGATAATAAGTACAAAGGTATTTATAATTAATAGCAGGCGAAATTTGTTTCTTTGAAACGTAGTCATAAATGTTATAGCAGTGTTAGAGTAATGTTATAGCATTCTTATCGAAATCTTATAGCAACGTTATAGCAATATTATAGTAAACTATAAATTATAGCAACATAAAAACGTTATAGCAAACTTTTTATTTGTTATTTTACATAGAATCACTGCATTTTCTATTGTAATATAGATGTTTTTTATTTCGAATATAGTATAAAATATCATAATCTTAAATTATTGAACCAAAGTTTGACAATAACTATAAAATTAATTATAATTAACTGGTGGCGT